ATTTAAAAATTAAAAAATTAAATTAAAACCAGTAAAAAATAGGCAAAAACTTACTTTTAACCCCTCACCTTACCAAATTTGAGATTTTAGTCCTTTACCTTATATTATGATACTTTTAACCTCTCATCTGATTAGATTTGTAAGTTTTAGTCCCTTATTTATTAAAATCAAAGAAAATAATCCTCATTTTATACTGACTGTTAACTCTGTTAGTTAAAAATAGATTTTTATTAACTAACAGTCACTTAATAGTCAATTAACATAATTAATAAAATATTATAAAGTTAATTTTGTTAACTCTATTAGTTGAAAAAAGGTTTTTCACAGCTAATAGTCAATTAACAGTCAATTAATAGAATTAGTAGTTAGTTAATGTTGACGACCATTTAAGATTTTTTCAAAACAGTGAAAAATTAAGTGTAAAAATATAAGAAAAGAAAAAAGAGTTGCCACTCGTCCAAATTATAAGGTGAGACAAGTCACCTAAAACGAGTTTGCGCAGAGATCGGGGTTCGTGGGTTCAGTTAGGAGTGAGGAAGGGCATACGCGCACCTGACAATCCTCTGTTTAAACACGGTTGCATACTTTAACATTGAGGGTTTTGATTCAACTTATTCATCATGTTTACATTTGAGTCTTAATAAGCAAACTTGAAAAAAGAGAAAAGAAGAGAAACCAAATTAAAACACTTTCAAATTTTTGGACTAAAATGAACAAAATCAAGACATGCATGCACCATGAACATAAATAAAAATTAAAAGGACTAATTTGATAAAATTCGAAAGATGGAAGACTGATTTGATTAAATTCAAAACATGAGAGATTGATTTGAAAAGGGTTGAAATCCACGCACTGAATTGCTTAATCATGAAAGTTTTGGGTGAAATTTGAAATAAATAAAGATACTTTTGACTTTGACCAACATTAAAGAAAATTAAGGATTTAAATTAATTAATTATGATGATTAACTTAATTAAATAATTAACATTAATTAAAATTAATTAGAAAGATGGAAGACTGATTTGATTAAATTCAAAACATGAAAGATTGATTTGAAAAGGATTGAAATCCATGCACTGAATTGCTTAATCATGAAAGC